TTAACAAACACTTCTCAGCACGCTGGGCAGTCTCCTGTTTGTAGCACTCTTTTGTAATAACTCTGTGAATCACCCAGAACTTTCCTAAAAATGAAGTGTCAATTAAATGAGAAGGAAAGAGGCAAGAAGGATAGTGGGAAGAGCCGATGTCCTAATGCTGGACCAGTCTTGGCTCTATGGACTTTGGAAAGTCACCAGCATTTTTCAAATCGAAGTTAACTTTTTTTTTTTTACAAAACCCAGTTGATGTTCAACTTATCCCAAACACAGAAGCACAAAAATCAGACAAATTGGGCCCAGCGTGATAGCATAGTGGTTAAAGTCCTCGCCTTGCATGCCCAGGATCCCAAATGGGTGCCGGTTCTAATCCCAGGGGCCCTGCTTCACATCCAGCTCCCTGCTTGTGGCCTGGGAAAGCAGTCGAGGATGGCTCAAATCTTTGGGACCCGGCACCCGTGGGAGACCCAGAAGAAGTTCCTGGCTCATGGCTTCGAATTGGCTCAGCTCCAACCCTTGCAGCCACTTGGGCAGTGAGCCATTGGACGGAAGATCTTCCTCTCTGTCTCTCCTCCTCTCTGTACATCTGTCTTTCCAATAAAAATAAATAAATCTTTAAAAAAAATCAGAGAAATTAATGATAGCATGATTTCTTCCTAAATATTTTTTAAAATCATGGAGTTATTAAATCACTACTAATAAATCTCAATAAATTTTAAAGAGAACTCCTTTTAAGAAATCTACAGGGGAAACATCCAGTCATAACATGAATCAAGTTGGAATAAAAAAAAGAGGCTTAAGATCCAGCTTATCTGAAGCCCAAAGTTGCTTCTCACATTATTATAACACAAAGAAGGCAAGAAAGGTGACTTTATCTCCCACAATATTGTCTCAGAGAAGGATAGGTTTCTGCTGCTCCTTCATGTAAGTATTCAGTGAGGGGTCGGTAATGTGCAGTAACCTGCGAAGTGCTTAGAGTATGTTAACTGAACTTAGTATAATCCGTGTCCTCTTCTATTGGACATGGTATGGTTGAGAACTGCTACTGTCAGCACCACAGAAAATGATTCTGCTGGCTGTCCAAACTTTCAGAAAGTAGGGAGGAAAGCAGCGAGGGAATATTTAATGTGGAAAAAGAAATTCTGAGAGAATACTTAAAATGAGCTAAACTCGCAAAAACAATGTGACAGATAAATAGTTTATACTAATACCTTTATACTAGAGAATTATAAAGTGTGAATATGGTGGTGGTCATTTATATTATCAATAAAATGCCTCGATTCTTATGGGAGTTGTCATTTGGTCAAATGAAAGAAAGCTCATATGTAGAAATAGTAAATTTAGAAATGTTTCTCTGAAGAAAGGATTCAAATAATATGTTTTGTTTTAGCTTTAGAAAGTACTTGTGTTTTGCTGAGCCTAATGGTCTCTAGTTGGGACCTTTTTGCTGCAAATGGTAGAATTACATTCTTTTTATGCCTGAGTAGTACTCAATGCAGTAGGTGGAATGCAGTTTCTTTATCCACCCTGGGGCACCTGGATTTTTTCCATGTCTTTGCTCTTATAGATTGTACTGTTGTAAATAAAGGGTTAAATTTCCCTTTCTCATGTTTAGATTTCATCTCCTTTGGGTATATTTCCAGAAGTGGGATAGCTGGCAGATCAATTTTCAATTCTCTTAGCACTCTCCATACTAACATCCAGTGGCTCTACTAGCCTGCACTCCCACCAGCAGTAAATGAGGTTACTTTATCTGCACATCCATGGAGCAGGTGATGTTAGCAGAGTTCTGAATGTAAGCCAATCTCCTTGAGTTAAGTGGACTCTCAAAGTTGTTTTCATTTGCATTTCTCTTATAGTTGGGGAGCATAAGCATTTTTTCATATGTCAATTATCAGATTTGTTCTTTTGAAAAAGTCTGTTCATTTGCTTTGCCCATTTCTTCACAGGGTTGACTGCTGGCCTAAAAGGACAAATATATGTTCTCTCTGATATAAAGCAACCTTGATGAAAAATATAGGCGAACATGTATATACATAGATTCATCTAAGGAACTGTATTGGAGCAGTAGCATACTGAGATACTGAGAAGGGTGGATGTATTGCAGTGTACATCTCTACTCCTGAATAAAAGATGGACACCCAAAGAAACTGTTAAATAGGTCTTTACAATAAGATGCTGGACTTTCTGCCATTTTCTGTACCTGTTACATCATGATACATGTAAATAGAAGAATGATGCAATGTGTCTGTTATTGTAGTCATACAGGGGAAAACAGTGTGAGGGGAGAGGGTACATGGGGAGAGTGAAAGGAGAGATTCTGGAGCCTATGGAATAGTATCATGAAAAATAAAAACAACAAAAAAGGAAACTAGTTGTATAAATGCATGTTTTAATATCCACATTTTTTGCTATATTGACTTGAAGAGATCACTAGTTTAATCAAAAGCCTTAGTGATATCATTTTTAATTATGTGGAGGATGAGAAATCTTTTAATGGGATTCTATGGAATGCAACACTGCCTGTTTTTCAAAGATCTATTTATTTACTTATTTGAAAGGCAGAGCATTAGATAGATCGGGGGATACACCAGCATATTCAGTACACTGCCCAGATGGTGGCAGTGTTCAGGCTGGTGCAGGTTAAAGCCAGAAGCAATAAATTACATTCTGATGGCCTTCATTGCCACCCTCTGTTGCCCTCCTCAGCACTGTAGTGTGGGTCACAAACTTAGCACCTGGGACTCCAACTAGTTCTATGGTATGAGATATCAGTGTTTCAAGTGGCGTCTTATTCCACTGCACCGTATTAAACAATATCTTTAGTGTCAGGAAAAATAAATCAGTATCTTGCAAGGTGTTGTTCAGTGTCTGGTTAATTCACATGTTTTACAGAGCTTTTGATTCATAATGATGTCCACTTCAACTTTTGGTAATTCTTGCTTTTCTGTGTTATTAATTCGATCCAGTAGAGTATCACAGTAAGAATCATTTCATTTTAATAATGTTGACCATTTCAGCATTTAAAGACACCCACATGTAACTCCTAACCATTCATATTTTCAAGCTCTTCTTGTTCCTTCTACTTTCCCTCGTGGTATGTTTTCCAGATCCTTCATGATTTTGGCTAAGGCTTTATTTAGATGATGTCATTTTAGTTGAAAAATGCTCCTCTGTTATGTATCCAGTGATGAACTCCAGTTAATTTTCTAGGGAATAGGCTCCTATTCTTATAAATTTGATAATTTTAGGAAGCAAATCTGCATGGCCTTTGTGGAATTACTTGTGTAATAGCCATGTGCCCTCTCAAATCTCCTCTTGTATCCATAACAAATTTTAACTAATTTATCTGGATATCAGTATTGCGGTTATTTTGTTTATAGTGAGCTGACTTTTCATTCGATAAACAAGGGAAACAGATCCAATGACGGATTTTCAAGAAGCTGGCTCTGTGTGTGTGTGTGTGTGTGTGTGTGTGTGTGTGTGTGTGTGTGTGGTGTATGTGTGTAGTTGGTAAGAGTTTGAGTGTGGACATGACTGGATTTTGAAGAAATAATCAACTAAAAATTTTAGTTTGTACTTTTGGGTTTCTCCCTTGTGTATATAAACTGCAGAAGAAAAGGTAAGTGAGAAAATAATGGAAAGAAATTGAAGATTGTGGAATGGAATATTTTTAGAAAAGAGTATAATTGGACAACATTTCATTTTGGGGGTGGTATAACACATGACACGACACTTGGTTTGTGATGGGTATAGAGTTTTCTTGCTTTTGTGACGCCATGCATTGCTTTTTAACTAACTATTTTTTCAATATACTGCATGTTTAAAGGATGATACAACAATTAGAAGTGAAATATTTCTCTAGTACATCAGCATTTTCATATGTCAGTTATCTTATCTTGAAGTTTTCTCTCATGCATGCCTTATAGTTTTTCTTGCCCAAAGCAAACAACATCTTTTAAAAAACCCAAAGGCCTATCTGATTTATATAGATTATACCTTCAAAAATGATATTAGGAAAAGTGGGACTAAACCTTTGATGTTTGCATAAATCTTAAAATGCTTTCTTAGCTGTTATTTGACTCCTTATTAGTAATCCATGCATTTGATTTGAAGATTGATTATGATGAATATATTACCATTTACTGCACATAATTTTTCTTCTCATTTGGTATTTTGAATTATTAAATATAATTTGTTTACTTATTTTTTTAGTATTAAGTATACTTGAACACTTGAACATGTAGTATACTCTACACGTTGGTAGAATGTAGAGAAAAAGTAGATGCATTTATTGGAGCAGTACATTTTAGGCTGTGGCAATTGTTTTAACGTGGACTAAATATGAAATATTTGGCACATTGAGTTGGCTATATTATGACCCATCTATGGAAACTTTAAAATTATGCTTGCCATCACCAATTCTTTGGGGATCCACCAGACTAAATATAAGCCTGCGTAAATTAATAAAAAGAGAAAATTTTAAGTAATATGCTGTCTCAGACAAGTTGCAGCCTAGGTGTGGGCTTGTGGAACACAGCATTTTAGGCCTTGGTCTTTAGAGTCCAATGATTGGTTCTGGTTACACAGAATCAGATTTCCAGCATGTGATTGAGTTTTCCATTAAAAAAAAAAGGAAAAAATCTGGTTCAAAATCATCTGTAAAACATATTAAAGAATCCCACATTGTTCCAGTTGGAGTAATACATAACGAAATTATATTCATTAATACTAATGATTGAATTGACGATATATTAAGTTCAGACTTCATGTGTTTTTTAAATTAGTAGCTGCTTCTTCCCCCACCCAAAAAGTCAGTGTTGATGTTATTTAGTTCTCTTTTTCTGCAGCATGAACATCTCATAAAGTATATAATACATAAAATCATAATATTTATTTTATTAATCTTTAGGTTATCTAGTCAGAAAATGCTTATATTTATTGATGTTCATAAAATATAATTAAAATTGAATAACTCTATATTATTTATTTTCTGTTTGCAGGGTACAAGTTGAATTCTATATGAATGAAAACACATTTAAAGAAAGACTAAAGTTGTTTTTCATTAAAAACCAGAGATCAAGTAAGTCATTCATTTAAACTCCCCCTGTACATGCTTGTACACTTATTCATCTTAAAAAATTCAATTGTTCAGTGTTTTGTAAAATGCTTTTTATGTAAAATGGTATTTCCCAAGAAGAGATATGTAGATATTACAACTAATTTTGCTGATGCTTCTTAAGACCTTTAATTTTCCAAGTAACACATCATGTCTTCTGAATAGAACTCTTTGTGTGGGTGAAGGAGTTCAAGAAAATAATATAAGTGAAAGAAATCTACATTTTAAATGAGAGGAAAATTGGAGATACTGTCTTTTCAAAGGAAGTTCTGATGGCTAACTGGCCATTATGGGGAAATATATGTGTGACATAAAGAGTTAAGTGCTTTCCAGTTCTTCCTGATTGGAAAGCACGTCTGGGAACCTCGGATGTATGGATTCCATTCCTCTTTTGCTTGAGGTATTGAATTGGGAAGTATAGGGTGAATCTTCAGAGTTTAACATTTCAATAGTTTTTCATCAGTCAAACCTGGAAACTACTGGAATTTTATGACAATATGAAATTGGCATAGAAATGGCTCTATTTTGTTCAAGGTTTAAGTGTTAGTGGTACTTGTTGCCTTCCTCGAATACTACATATTTCTACAACTTCAGTAATAAAACTGATATGCATTCTTTTCCCCTCTGTGGGTTTACTCTTAGGCTGTGAACAGGAAATGAGGCGATTTCCAAGGAGTATAATCTGCTAATTTTGACCTCTGAATCCTTTTTGGGTTGTAGAGGCTGTAGCTCCTTAGGTCCAATTGAAAGCAAGACCCCTGACTCTTGGGAAGTTGTCCAAGAGCTGGCTAAATTTCCATGTTCTGGGCCTGGTTAGAAGTGTTAAAGACGTGTTAGGATTAGGGTTAAAGCTGGCGATAAGCATTGCTTTCCAAACCTGTTGGCCTAGGATTTCCAGAAAGTCCCATCTCCAGAAACGAGCTGAAGGAGTCACATTATGCGAGCAGGCTTCTTTGAGTTCAGCACTAACAATCTGATCTGTTCTGACCAGAAAAGCTAGGAGCCTTGTTTGAACCCTTCTCCAGCAGTCACCTTTGATTGACCTGACCCATTTCTGGAGAATCAAGGCAGTTTCATTATGAATTTAGAAGATCTTATAAAAAAGCTAACCCAAGAAATGTACTCAGAATTTTGGTAGAAAAAACTAGGACGGATTACTCAATTAGTGGGTACTCTATGTTGTTAATAAATGTTGCAAGTGCACTTATCAGAGTAAACAACAATAACAAATATAGTGTTTCCCTTCCAGATTTTGTTTAGGCTAATCGTATGAAGGCTTTTCCCAGACTCTTATTCCTAATACATAATCCATCCGTCGCAAATAATTTCAGGAGAGATAAAGCTCCTGTTAATCAGATTTTTGAGTATGTTTTAAATATTCTTAAATACTCTTCAACATCCTAATGTATTAGATGCTGCATAATTGTCACCTTCACAGTTTAAATCATATGTACACTGTAGTCATAATTTCACAAGATTCTGTTAAGATTTCATTGTTGCTTAATGCAGTTAAAAATAAAGGTGAATAAATCAACTTTAGAGTGTGAATGCACATGTGCATGTGAGATATATGATCCCATTGTTTCCCAGCTTGTTTTGTGATTTTTCTTTATAGATAAGAACATGTAATTTACATGTCATTATGTATTCAATAATACCATTACAAAGATATATACTTAAATATGTAATAATTCTGTTGTAAAAAATCGATTTAATCTCTATAATCAAATCTACAAGATTCTCTGAAGGTACAATATTTAATACTCATCCTGGGCATTTGTAAGGAGCTAGACCTTCTGCAGAACTAAACTTAATTCCCAAATTCATGGATGTATACAGTAGTTAAACGTACAAGCTACTTATAACCATCTTTGAAAAGATGTAAATTCTGTGCCTTCTGAACGTGATAACGTAGATTTAACTGAGTGTACAACGTTTACTACCATTTGCATTTTGTGCATTCTGTCAAGATCACTTTCTGTTTTAATATTTAATTAAAATTCAGCTTCCAGGAACTTCAGCGAGTATAGACAATTATAGTATTGCAGTTTCTAAATACAATCTAAGTGCTATACTTAAAGATGATATTTTGTACAGTTCTTTTCAGTCTCTCGAACTAAGTTAATTGAAAATCAAACTTTGTTGTTTGTTTAAAGGTCTAAGGATACGCCTATTCAATTTTTCTCTAAAATTATTAAGCTGCTTATTGTACATAATTCGAGTACTACTAGAAAATCCTTCACAAGGAAATGAATGGTAAGACATCTTTGAGCTTTAGTAAAACCCTTTTGATTATTTTGACTATATTACATTTTAAGGGGTGTTACAACTTTTGGTGTCTGACATGCTGAACTAATATGGTTTTCAAACCATGGATATAAAAATTTTAGTGTTTTTGTGGACATTTGATTGTTTATATAGTTATCTCATGGTATCACTGACATTGACCCACAAAACTTTCATTGCTACTTTGAGTGACCTAGGTATCTGTTTAAAATGGATCAGTCCCTTCAGCTCTGCGCCACATACATTTTCCAAAGGCTGATTTTTTTTTGTCACCAGTGTAGGCCTTGTCACTTGCTTGTGGCTGTTACTAGGGAGAACATTCTGGCAAGTGTTGAGTTGGGAAACTTTAGTTTCAGCCCTTAGTTTTGTGCTCTTTATGATTTTTTGTTTTTTTGAGTTGAATGACATGGATTTTTTTTTCTAAGATTTATTTTATTTTTATTTGAAAGTCAGATGTACAGAGAGGAGGAGTGACAGAGAGGAAGATCTTCTATCCGATGATTCACTCCCCAATTGGCCCCAATGGCTGGAGCTGAGCCAATCAGAAACCAGGAGCCGGGAGCTTCTTCCTGGTTTCCCACGTGGGTGCAAGGTCCCAAAGCATTGGGCCATCCTAGGTTGCTTTCCCAGGCCACAAGCAGGAAGCTGGATGGGAAGTGGAGCTGCCGGGATTAGAACTGGCACCCATATGGGATCTAGGTGTGCAAGGCGAGGGCCTTAACCACTACACCATCACGCCAGGCCCGAATGACATGGATTTTAAAAATACAAGCATTTTTAGTTCAGTTTTTGTTTAAAATGATGTAGTTTTTATTAAATTATGCTTCACTCATTTATAGGCTTTCCTGTATAGACTGACCTTTGTTCAAATAATAGATAAGGAGACTGGGTGTGTAGTGGTGTTGCATAATTTTGATCTCATCAGCTTCCTGGACTCTCTCCAGGGTACTAAATTTCCAATAACTACCAAAGCCAAAAAATTAAATTAGAAGACTGTCTTTTATAAGTTATTGCTCTGTATAGAATTTTACCCTAAGAAATTAAAAGTAAAAAGATCACAGGGACCGAGAAAGTGAGCTAATTTCTTTTTAAGTGAATTGTTTCCTGTTCAGTTGATTTAGATATTGCAAATGATTCTGTACTTACCCAAGGTTTGGAGAATATACTAAAGATGTATATGTTTTGTCATGTAATGCTATATCTGAAAATTCTTTGCAAAATAATTTATTTCATGCTGAATTATTATGAATATTTCATTATGCCTGTACTGCATACTTAACCTGTATTGGTCACATTATCCTAAGGGAAGATACAAAGATGCATTAGAACAATATCCATTAGACATTTTCATTCAGAAATGGTTATTTTGGGGCTCCTACTCTTATATGATATTAGATTAGTTGTTCTATCTTAAATACGCAGAAGCAGAGATTTTCCCCATATGTCATTCTGTTTTGAGACCTTCAGAGCTAATCTAGATACGCTTTCCATTGCTAGTTTTAATTCAGTGGCCACAAGAGGCTGATGCCTCCCATTAATCCAATGCTTCCATTGAGTATACAGCCTCTCTTCCTGGAAGTCTGGTGGGAATTGCTCTTCTGCCCTTCCAAAGCCTAGTAAGTGACGGCTTTGTCAGTTCTGCAAACCCTTGTTTAGTACTAACTTTCCACATTTTTTTGAGAATGACTCCATTCTAACATCTGCTCTGTGGGCTGAGTATTTTGGAATCATTCTTAACTTCTCTTTGTCTGCAGTGTGTTTGAAAATCCTGTTATTTCTGCCTTCAGGATATATCCATCACATAGTTCCTTCTCAGCACATCTTCTGTGCTGCGCAAGCCAACTTCTCTCATTTAAATAATGTTGCTAATTCTACCTGTGCTTCCTTTGGTTTGCTCTTAACGGAGGGCACGCTACTCCTGGGAATTAGAAGTCCCATTTAGCCCTGAACTAAATGTCAAAGTGCTAATTATTATAGTCTGTAAGAACCCATTTTGTCTTAACCTTACTTCCTGTTCCACACTCCCTACCCATTGTGCTCTAGCTGCGTGGACCTCTTTTCTGTCCTGCATCACACCAGATGACAACCAGCCTAGTATTTTCAGAGGGTTTTCCCTGTGTCTGCAATTCCTTCTATCAGATAATACAAGGCATACGAGGCAGATCTTTACTCAAAACTATGTTAAGCATCCTGTTTAAAATTTTAACATACTGGTAACACCACCCTGCATAGATGTTTATTTTTCAGTCTTTTTTTTTTTTTTTTGAAAGATTTGCTTTTATTGGAAGGTCAGGTATATAGGGAGGTGGAGAGATGGAGAGGAAATCTTCCATCGTCTGATTCATTCCCCCACAGCTGTAGCTGAGCCGATCCAAAGCCAGGGGCAAGGAGCTTCTTCTGGAGTAGCAAGGAGCTACTCCTATGTGGGTACAGGGTCCCGAGGCTTTGGGCCATTCTTGATTGCTTTCCTAGGCGACAAGCAGGGAGCTGGATGGGAAGTGAGGGGGGCCCAGGACAGGAACTGGCACCCATATGGGATCCTGCAGAGTGCAAGTTGAGAAATTTAGCCACTAGGCTATCATGCTGAGCCTTATGTTTCAGTCTTATGCTTTTCTCTTCTTTAAATACCTGCATATTTAAGTTGTTCAGTTGATTTTGTGGATAATCCCTGTATTAGAATGGATATTTTATGACAGCATGAGTAGGTGTCTGAATCCCCAGAGTCTGGTATAATCAAGCAAATAACAGTTGTTTGATGAGTGAGTGTATTATTGGGTGAGTGAGGTTACTCTGTCATTTATCTTTTGCTTACCCCACCTCTTGTACTTTCCATGGTTTCTGGTCTTGGAACATTCTGTACCCCCAAATCGGGACCTTGTCCATATTGTCCCTGGCAAATTCCTGCTTTCTTGACTTGCCTCGGCAACTCTGGACCTTAAAGATAGAACTTACCTGAGAATCAGTGAGAAGCTCTGATCAGGCATCCTGTGCTTGAGGCTGTTCCCCTTTGAGGAATCTGCACTGAGTGAGGAATCTGTTGCCTGTGCTCCCCGAGTCTCGCCATGCTTGTCTTTCCCACGACTGCATGTGTTGCCTGTGATTTTTGTGTTCACTGCTCTGTCGTATCTTCGTGTTCACAGGGCACAGTGGTAGGCTTGCATTTTCCTCTGTAGCTTTCATTTTTAGGACAGAACTTGGAGGGTCAGTGACAACTGCTTAGTTAATGGCATTATACTCCACACTTTTATTGACAGTGTTGAACATATGTATGAAACATTAAGGCTTAATTGATTTATTCTATAAATATACTATGATTGTTTTTAAAACTCGGTAATTTAAGGATGAAATGTACTGAAATGCCTGAAAATTCTGAAACAGAATCCTTTTAAGGATAGAGGTGCATGATGGTTGAATAAAATTATATTATGTGAAAACATGAGGAATAAAGTTTCCTACAATTAACTTCTATGAAATATTACTAAGAGTAGTCAGCCATAATTATAGAGGATATACATTTGAAAAATCAGATTACTGTAATTAAAAAGCATGGCAAACCAACTGATGGCTACATTTTGAATACAAGGTTCCGCATAGTTCCCATTGTCCATGAAGTACTGGTTAATGAAAAACAGAAGTGGCCTTTATGGGCACAGACTCTATTTTAAAATAATGAGGGTAATTCAGCAAAGGGATTTATTTAATTAGAGCTTCTGACATGGTAAAGCTGCAGATATTTAGTGCTGCTATTTGTGTTATTTTTAATTCGCTTCCAGGAATCAAACACTGATATGAAAATGCTGCAATACAGACAAGCTGAAGCAAAAGGAAAATAATTTTTCTGTTGTTATGCGAGTACACAAAAGAAACTGCATTGTGTGCAGAGCAGGTGCTGAGTTATTCAAAGGTATTCGGAAGTGAAACACTTGCAGTATATAGTTGAAGCATTACATCGTAAGATGAACCACCAGTGCTGACCTGTTACCTGCTCTTGCTTGCAGTTCCACACTGTGTGTTCAAAGCCATGCTGCTGTTTGCACCTCTGGAATTGCTGGAGTAACTCTTATTTTTTTTTTAATATCAAGTGATAGAGTTAACAACAAAGAGCCAGTGAAGGTGCTTGCATCTCAGGGTATTCAATTTGCTCTTAAAATCAGTGCCTAATAAAAAGCAACAGACGTGTTCTGGTGGCATTCACATTTTAAAGACAATATCTTTTGAGGGAAGAATTAAATAAATGAAAAATAGTATGTCAATATTAATTTATGTGTATACAGTCTTATGCTGGGCATATTTAATATAGTAACTAGTGCTTTAATATATTTCCTCAAAAATCTGAAAGAACTGTTCCGATCATCGTGGATCTCTTTCTGTCGGATGACTCCCATGCAGGAGTGCACACACAGACGCGCATTGTGATGTTTTAAATATAACATATGTGCAAACCACTTGCATTCTGTGCTTTCGTGGTGCCCCAAGACCTGAGACTTTTGCATGCAAATATTCAGAAAGGAAAAGATAGCATGGGAAATTCGAAGGTACTTCTAAAATTCTTGGCAAACAAATGACAAGCATCATTTTTGCTTGCATTTATATCAGATAGCTTGTGAGGACAAATCATATCATCGCATCTGATACAAAGACAACAGGGCTCGCTCTATGACATACAATTTTTGTCTAGAAAAACTGGACAAAATCCCTATATTTTTGTTTCTGTTTGTTTTCTCAAATGCTATAAAGAATATTTTAAAAATTCCATTGGGAAAGATAATGTTACTAAACTTGTCAAACATGTCTTTGTGCTGACTGGCACCATCTATCAATTTGTTTTAACCATCTAGTATATGACTTGAAATCAGCAAGACATTTGGTTTATAGTGGAGTGTGGAACATACATGTTAGTTGATTTTATGGAATTGTAATATTTTTCAGGAGTCAGACACTAATTACATTTATAAATAAATGCAACATTTTAACTGAGAAGGATTGCAGCAAGTGTTTGGAGAATAGCATGGCCCAGAATATTGGAGACTATTTTGATTAGGTTGGGTTCTCAGAAAATCTTTTCCTGGGAAATCTATGCATTGTAGGGTGACAGAAAATCTTGTGCAAAGGATGTGGATTGGGATGGAATGTGTCTCCCCTGAAAGGGTCTAAAAATGCAATCCAGAAGATTTTTTTTTCCCCTAATAAAGGAGCAAAGCAAGCACACAGCAGGTTTACGTGCTGTAAAATGAATTTGAGACAGTCTCATTGCAGTTTGCAGATATTTGTGGATGGCAAAAAGAAGATTCCCATTTAGTAGGTATGTGTAAGTGTCCAGCTGCAAAAATGGTAACTCAGATGAAGATGACTGAGGTGATCCAGATGAGGAACTTCAATTCCGCAGAAACCTGGTGGAGGAGTTACTAGGGCTTGAGAACTAATTGGTTAAATACTTCAAAGATGCATATGATGCTCGCATTGTTGGGAATACAACTCGACTTACGTTAGCTTTTTATCAGTGTAAGTAGGTACATAAGACAAGCTGCAATCCAGAAATGGGTTTATTTTGGCTCACACATGTAAAGTTTCAGATCCCCAGATTTGGTAAGACCTTTTAATTTTAGCTATCCTATGAGAATAGGGCCCAGCTCTGGTTGAATTGCAATCCAGGAAGCAGAATGGCTGAGCCCAACTGTCAGGTTCTTACAAAAAATTGCTTCAGAGGACTGCCTTCTAAGTGTGTACCCTCAGCGATCTAAGGGCATCCCTCTAAGCCCACTGCCCGCTTCCGACCTCTGGAATGGAAGTGCACCTTTTTCCCTCCTTCCTTCCTTCTACCCTCTCTCCTTTCTTCTTTCCTCCCTCCCTCTCTTCTTCCTTCTTTCCTTGGTTTATTTTATTGTTATTTGCAAGGCAGGGTTACAGAGAAAATAAAAGACAAAGAGAGATAGAGATCATTCTTCTGGTAGTTCACTGCCCAAAAAGCTGAAAGAGATAGAGATAGAGAGATAAAGATAGGGAGACACACACACACAGAGAGAGAGAGAGAGAGAGAGAGAGAGAGAGAGAGAAACTGACATAGAAATTCCATCTGCTGGTTCACTCCACTAAATGGCTTCAGTGGCTAGAGCTGACCAGATCTTCTCAAAGCCAGGAAGTAGGAGTCCCTTCTGGGTCTCCCACATGGGAGCCATCCTCTGCTGCTCTCCCAGACCTTTAGCAGGGAACTGGATTGGAAGTGGAGCAGTTGGGGTATGAACTGACACCCATATGGGATTCTAGTGCTGCAAGCGAAATCTAAGCCTATTGTGACAGGGTACTGGACTCATGGACTGAATTTTGATCTTCTCAGCTGCTAAAATTTCTACATTTAATGTAGAAGTGTGCATGAGTAATAAAGCCCCATCATTATGCCGGGTGCCACTTACTGAGGTGAGAAAAGTTGCAAGACCCCACTTTGGAAGAAATATCAAAGATTGGTTGAGAACAATTGAATATATCAATTAGCTGGGTAGATATGGCATTCTGGAACTCCAGAGTCCTGTAGTCTAATGTACAAGTACTTCTTTGAACAGTCTTTGAATTTTTTGTCCTCCTTTTGGAAGTAAGGGTTTTGAAAAGTTCATTTTTGCTTATGCTTTAAGATATGATCAAATTGAAAAGTATTTGCAGTTAAAAGTACACATAATGCTCTATGAGACTCTTCTCATATTCACCAAGTGTAACTAGCAAAGAAAACCTTGTTTATTTAGGGTCCAAGGGAGGGGCTTTATTTTTCTTTTGGAGAACCATGATGATGTAACTGTTTTCCTCTTCCCCTGACTAGTTTACGTTGATATGAATGACTCTCATTTGAATATGCTGTGCACCAGATGATGTCAATAAGGGCACGGGCCATAGAACGTTGAAAATTGCAATTAGTGGGGATGTTAAAAGTGTAAAGATGTTCTTTGCAAAGTAAAAGTGTGCTTTTTATAACATTCATGAATGATAACATACTAAAGATCATTTAAGAAAGACTGTTCTTTTTCCTGGGTAATGATCTCTGCTATTCCCAGTCCCAGGTGTTTTTTTATTTTGATTTTTGGTGGTGGTGTGTTACACATTCCATTGGAATCTAAGTCTCAAAAATCATTGTGATCTATGTAACTAATTTTAATTAATTTTTGGAATATTAACATCTTAAAAAATAATGCAATCTTAGTGTTTACGGGAAAGTCTCACGTGGCCTTTGAGTGAAGAGTTGCTTTGTGAAAGGTTTGGAGATATTTCTCCACTGCCAACAATGCAAGGGTGGAGAATGAATGGCCTGTGGGCCATAGAAAGCTCAATAAATCATGCCGTGTGGTCCTGCAAAGGTAACTGCCAGTCGCACTTGAAAATCAGTTATTCTATAGAAGCATGCTCTATAAGTCAACGGTTTTGTGTGGCCCACAAATGATATTGCAAATCTTCAAACGGCACTCGGTAGCAGAAAGTTGAGCAGCCTCTGCAAGGTCCACTTGATTTTCATTCTTTGTTGACAGTGACGGACAATGAAAGTGAAAAGGAGATCTACTGGGATAGAAATGAATATTAGTCACAAGCAAAGTGAAACATCAAAGTCTCATTTTTAATGTTTTGTTTATCATTTTAATGTGAAACTAACTTAGTTTTAGTAAGTGAATAAATTCTTCACATTTTTAAGATTAATGTTTTATCACTTTTTTCATAGGTCTCATATCTTTTGGGTGAACAGAAGTCTACCTTTGTGGGGTTTACAGGTTATGTACAATTTTTTATCTCTATATTTCTGGCTTTATTCATATGTCACAAGGACATATAACTGGAGAAAAGGCTTTGATATTCAAGTGTGTTTGTCTTCCCGATTGAACTTGAGGCACCTTGACAGTAGATTGTTTTATATATTTTTCTTCACATTTACCAGAGCCTTTTTTCCCACATTTTTAGAATTTCTTAGTAATTGGGATTAGGGTCTAGAGATTTTGTGAGCATGTGGAGAAAACCAAACTGCTGCCTTAAGGTTCCACACGTTTCCCCGCACTGTATCAGCTATCTCTGCTGTGTAATGCCTTTAAGGTAAACCTGGAGACCCTCCTTGTGCTATCTTTTTACGTTAGATTCTCTGTTTCTGAAACATAGTAGTATTTAAAAAAATAATTGGGAAGTGAATAGACAAGTAAAGGGGTTACTCATATCCCTAACGCTAAGAGCTTCGCTCCCGAGAAGATGACAGTGTCAGTAAAGCAGAAGATGTGCTGTGGCATAACGGAGTCCTTCAGAGATTGCTGAAGAGACAACAGCCTGTCCGGGCCACATAGCTGAGGGATCCTCATGAGGCCCCTCCTCTTTTAAAATTTTTTTGAATCTTTTTTTTGCTATATTTTTATTTTGAATTCTGAATTATGTGGTATAATTTTGTATAGGCTGGGATTTCCCCCCACCCCCCAAACTCCCACCCCCAGACAGGTTTTTCCCATTTTACTACAATAGTGTAGTCTTTCATAAGGAATCATAATTCTATCAGTCTCTTATTTAAGTGTGCCCCGACGTTGTTGGTACAGACAATGTCAGACAGTCCAGCATCCCTCTTCCTCTTCTTTTTTCCCCTCATAATAATTTCTTACCCAGGAAATGTTTTAGAGGTTCCTTTACTTGCATTTGCCTCCTATAGATCCTTTTTGTTTTCTGTTATTTTTTACAAGTACACATCAGTTGAAAGAATCGAGTCACTACCGTAAGAGATAATTGGAGGTTGGAGGACAGCTGAGCCTGAAAGAAGCAGAGACTTCAGTCACAGTCATGAGGAACACTCTTTAACAAATATTTAGATCAAATGCTTGCCATTGAGGTCATGATGATGTGAATTCTGCACATTTTATGTGTGATAACAAATTATTCTAAGTCTAGATACAATTGGGATATTAACTTTCAAGAACTTACTTGGAATCCATTCTTCTTTGTATTTACTTGTTTTTTTCTATTCATCTATACAAAAGTGCTTGGAGTATTTAATATAGGATAGTTCTGATACCTCTTCTAGTTAATGCTTTCTGCGTCAGCATTATTTTTGGGTAGTTAAAAGGTGTAGAAATTTACAAACATAGAAACTTTAGAGAAAGGTAGAAGTTTGTCTAGGATAATGTGGGACTAGGCCTTGGTTATGACACCCATTCAAGCAAAGTTGAATGGGTTTTGAAATGCTGACATGTTTTCTTTTGTTTGGTATGCAAGGATATTGACATTCGCTTTTGTAAATGCTGAAATGCTGGTTTTGTTGCTGGGATTGCTGGGAAAAAACTTCTGTTGTGTGCATTTTGTTTTGTGTTAGCAGCACACTTACACAGTCACGGACAGGAGTATATTCCAGTTAGTCTTTTGTTTGTTTTTAAAGATGTATTTCATTCTTATTGGAAAGTCAGATCTACAGAGAGAAAGAGAGACAGAGAGGAAGTTCTTCTGCCTGTTGATTCACTTCCAAAGTGTCTGCATTGGCCAGAGCTGAACCAATCTGAAGGCAGGAGCCAGGAGCTTCTTCTAGGACTTCCACGCAGGCGCAGAGTCCCAAGGCTTTGGGCTGTCCTAGACTGCTTTTCCAGGCCACAAGCAGGGAGCTGAATGGGAAGTGGAGCAGCTGGGTTACGAACCGGTGCCCACGTGGGATTCCTGTGTGTTCAAGGCGAGGACTTTAGTTGCTAGGCCACGCTGCTGGGCCCCCAGTCTGACTTTGTAATCCCATCTTTATTCTCATGCTGATGATAATAAAAGCTATTTGTTAGGATTCTAGAAAGTGGTAAAAGTGGGCAGGAGGTGACAGAAAGTAGCCCAAAGCACATAGCCTTCATGTGTATGCATGCGAATATGTTTATATAAAGTTAATAATGCAAATAGCTTATTGTGATTGTGTTTTCTCATTAAACTGCATTTTATATTTTAGGTTTCAGTGGCATTAATAAGTCTATTTGAAACAATACTACTTGGTTATCTCAGTTATAAGGTAAGATATTTTAATAAGTGTTTTTTTGCTACTAGGGCATCTTGCTAAGCACTTACCCCATGTTCCATTATTAACCACTAACAGTTGGAAATAAGGCAGCTGTTGTCAAAGCACATGGTTATTTGGAGCCTCTTCAGTATGTGGTACGGAGAAGCAGTGATACAGTCATGCTCCCCTGGTTACCTGGAAGTACTTCAGTCATTCCCGTGGGTTACTCACTGGTTACAGCATGCCTCTAATCAGGCAAGCAAATGGAGTGATCTGCATCGTTACTGTTCTCAGTGCCTTTTTCTCATCTTCACAAAAAGTATGAAGAAAGCAACAGTATATATGTTGGGAATTACATGCATTGATCATCTGAATCTTAGATGAAGCTTTGTTTAGCTAAGTTTTACATTTTGCATGTTTATATTCTCAGTGAGTAGTTGCAGTCTTTAAAAAAAAGATTAAGTTGTAGGAAATTATAAAGATAATATTAATCCAAGTTTGAAAACGAAAACTCAAGTGTGGTATAAAATACTATGAAGGTTCATATAGAAAGACCATAGCACAAGATTAAAAAACAAGGATTAGTCTACTTGAATAGCAGATGGAGAAATTTTGATTCAGACGGTATCAGTAAGACAAATGAAAAAGTGTGCCTGGCTCAATGGCCCAGTTGGATGATCCTTCCCCATTAAGCACCTGGATCCCAATGGGCTCTGTTTCATGTCCCAGCTGCTCCATTTCCCATCCAGCTCCCTATTGTGGTCTGGGAAAGCAGTCAAGGTCGGCCCAAAGTCTTGGGACCATGCACTCACATGGGAGACCTGGAAAAAGCTCCTGGCTCCTGGATTCAGATCATCTCAGCTCTTGCCATTGTGGCCACTTGGGGAGTGAATCAGTGATGAAAAAGTGTTGTCTTTCCTCTCTGTAAATCTTCTTTTCTGATAAAAATAAATCTTATTTAAAAAATGGCAGTCGGGGGAATGGAATTTTGAGGAGGGAATCCCAGACTTTACTGTCCTCCTAAAATGTCTAAGAAGGAAAATATTCCAGAAAGCACGTGAGCTGTGGGCCATGTAAGGATCTTGACAGAGAAAGTGACGAGGTTAGAAATTAGGAGAACATTTATTCTCTGCCTACGAGAGAGCAGATCCAAGGCGGGTATACTTGAGAGTCAATGTTATTGAATGAAAAAAATTCTTAAAGCAACAGAATGAGACAAGTATGACGGCTAATGATGGAAAATGTTTATGCTGCTAAAAGAGAGAAAAAGCGGAGGAGAAAGGAGAAGATGAACAAAGCAAACATAAAACGAGTAAGTTGGAATAGAAAGCTGAAGTGTAGGTTGTTTATTTAATTTAATTTATATGTTCATATACATTTTACCTGATAGGCTAAGACAGAAGATGGACCCAGATGGTCTCTTGCACTCTCCAGATGCTTCCATGAGTCAGGGTTAGGCCAGTCTGAAGCCAAGATTTCATATGGGTGAAATGCCCACAAGAGGCTGAGCCATCATGTACTTTTAGCTAGGTTGAACATGGGCAGAAAGTTGAATCAGACTCAGAGAACTGAGGCTCCTAGCAGGCTGTAGGATGTGGAACACCAGTCCCTGGAACCTGAGGTGCAGTGCAAAGCCATCATTGTTTTAAAAAGGCTCAAGGGGTTTTGTAGACACATTTGGAAGCCAATGAAGGCTCTTACACTTGGTAATCAAATACTGAAATTATCTAGAAAATCATAGATCCATCTATGTATAGACTAGGATTGTAATGCAGAGCCTTAGTGCTTTGTGTGGTGCAGTCTGTGTTAAAACAGGTATTCTCCAAATTTGTGGCTATTGACAATTCAGCATTTGAAGTAGAATAAGAACAAATAAACTGATATTTAATATCTTTATCTTTAAAGTTTTAGTGCATGCATGCAGTGAATGTTGATTTATCATATTAATTGTTATTAAAAATGAATTGTGTGGGGTTTTTAGGTAAATTGTTTTTCCCCAGTAGCTTAAGAGCACATATAGAAATATAGCATGGCTAAAATACCAACCTAAATATATGGGTATATTTGTTCCAACTTCTAGCTAAAATATAATATGAAAGAAACTTCAGTGTTTTGTTACTAAAACTCAGCTTTAATTTAAAGCATCATTTAAAAGACATATTCAATGCAATTTCCTTGAAAATGAATGATGACTATATTTGTAATTACACCCTTCCACCCATTTACAAAATAAGAGAAAAACTTGATAGGACTTGTCCTATCAAGAACTAGATGTTGTGTAACATTTCCACATTCCGACCCCCGTGAGCTTAGCTGGAAGGTGGGAGACGGTGACGTGCAGTGTGCCACAAAGGGCACAGGAGGGGCAGGTGGAGTGATGTCACAGTGGAAGCACAAGCCGCTCTTAGGGATCGGTTTTGACCCTTTCAGTAGTGTTGTGTTATATTTTGGGAATGAATAAATTAAGTTAGAGCCAATTATTTATGAACTTTAAGTAAGACAAGTTTGAATAGCAGACTCTAAAATGTATTTCTCTGTTTAAATTAGATTTTTGTGGTAATAACAGACAGGCATATACAGAAATGAATATTAAACTGCATCAGACATTTTCAGCATTCCTAACAATATTCTTTGGTCCTTACGGTTCTGAATAGCAACAATAATTGCATATTTCTATGTCATTTAATCGTATTTATTTACACATGTATGTATGCATAGATAATTCATATGTTCATATTTTAGGATAAATTTACAATATTATGCACACATTTTGTGAATCTTGACATTGCACTCTGTAAAGTAAGCTTGACTTAATCTTGAAAGAAGCTCCTGACTCTGCTTCTTGCTGTGGTCTGGCTCAGCTCTGATCTTTGCAGGCATTTGGGGAGCAGGCTGCATATGGAAGATCTCTCGCTCTAACTCTTCCTTTAAAAGGAACAAAACAAATCTTTATGAAAAAGAAAAACAAAAGTCAATGAAATAAAGCAATCTTATCAAAGACTTGCGGTATATGTTGAGGTTATCGAACAATGAATTAAAATCCCTAGCATCCACTTAGTTTGTCATGTGAACGTGTAAGGCTGTGCTTAAATACTCTTTGCACTTATGTTTACAACCAGTTGGCAAAGCACTCACAGTAATCATCCAATGTTAATGTTCTTATTCTTCTGTTATAAATTTCCTATAATTTTTCATCAGCTGATTTCAAAATAGAAATCTATTTATATACACACATTCATTAAATCAAAAGGGAACAAAAACAAATGGACAGTTTCCAAACCTCTGCCAATAAAAATTCATCATACCTAGAGGTTTTTTGTTTTTTCCTCTAAAAAGCTACCGTCTTGAAAAAGTGCCACAGTGATGGCTCTTTGCTGGAGGGGAATGGAGGGTTTAGCCTATGACTTACGCATGCTCATGATGCTGTTGATTCTGTTTACCTTGTCCTGGAAGCTATAAACTGAAATGTCACAGATGTTACATTTAAAAACAGAAAGTAAGACTGCCACACTATTTTAAACTCATTCTGAGAAACCAAGCTATCAACACTTTTCATTATATATTTAAATATAGAACTTTTAAGAAAAGCTGTATTTATTTTTAATGGAAAGGCAGATTTATAGAGAGAAGTATAGACAAAGTGAGGAAGATCCTCTATCCACTGGTTCATTCGCAAATGGCCGCAGCTGTCTGAGCTGAGTGAGCTGATTTGAAGCCGAGAGCCAGAGGCTTCCTCCAGGTCTTTCACGCAGTTGCAGGGTCCCAAGGATTTAAGCCATCCTCCACTGCTCTTCTAGGACACAAACAGGGAGATGGATGCGAAGTGGAGCAGCTAGTACATGAACTGGCACTCATGCGGGATCCCAGTGCTTGCAAAGCAAGGATTTAGACACTGAGCCATTACACAATGTCCTATATAGAGATTTTTTTTTAACATTTCAATATAACATTATTCCAAGTCCCTGCACCTAGACTAACAAGCAAATTGCCACACTTTATAATTTTTTTGAAGTTTTTTTGGTATTGGAAAGTCAGATATACAGAGGGGAGGAGAGACAGAGAGGAAGATCTTCTGTCAGTTAATTCACTCCCCACGTGTCTGCATTGGCCAGAACTGTGCCGATCTAAGCCAGGAGCCTGGAGCCTCAAAGCCTCTTCTGGGTCTCCAATGAGGGTCCAGGGTCCCAATCTTTGGGTCGTCCTCGACTGGTTTCCCAAGCCACAAGAGGTAGCTGAATGGGAAGTGGGACGTCTGGAATTAGAATCACTGCCTGTATGAGATCCCGGAGTGTGCAAAGTGAGGACTTTAGGTGCTAGGCTAGTGTGCTGGGTCCTACAACTCATAGTTTTTTAATGGGCTTTTTAGAATTTCTTAGATAATAATAGCCCTATGTTTTTACTTTCCTGAATTTTGAAATTAAGAACCAACACACTTTCAGAAAATTACATGTTATTTTGTACTTTTATTGATGAATAATTCGTTCACATCAAATGAACATTATTTGATTAGGATTATTGATGTTTCATTGAGCTAAGTCAATAAAATGAGAAGGATAAAGACTACTGCAAACTTGAAATTGATGATTTTTTAAAATTATCATTACCATTTTATGATAGAGTTCCATAAGTCCTTGGATTTCTCTTCCCCCCTCCCCAAGTCCCCCTCTTTCTCCACTGAGTTTCCCTATATTATTATTATAGTATAGTTCTTCATAAACAGTCATATGTCCATCATTGCAGGCATGGACAGTGGCAGAGACTCCAGCATCCTATTGTTAAGATATATGTAACAGTTTCATTGGGAGTCCATCTTTGATTTTTAAGCAGAGATGCATGCTGCATTGTATCCTCACAACTGGCTATGATAGTCTCCATTACACAGTTACTATACATCCCCTTAAATGAAAAGCCACAATACAAAATCAACAACAGGAATAAAAAAAGGAATTAAAAATACCATGAGATTAGATAACATGCTACTGATTGACTAATGTGTCACTGAAGAAATGAAA